AGGTAAGGGTCAAGATACACTTTTTTCATATGCATGTCTATTTGACCCGGTAGTGTTTATTGAAAATGGTTTTTTTCTTCACTGCTGCTCATGTATAATTGATCTTATGTACCCAGAGTCCATATCCAGGTGCATTTGTTTCTAAAGTTTAAGTTTTGTTACATTTGTCTGTTTGTCTATCATGTGCCATTGCCATATTGTCTTAATTAATATAAAGAGCGAAAGCTTGTCAATATTGTTTTTACTGAATATTGTCTTGTTTATTCTTGGCTCTAGACGTTTCCCTATAAAGTTTAGAATCAGTTCATCAATTTCTACTACAAACATAGTAGTTTTGATTGGTGTTGTATTAAATCTTAAATCTTTAGATCAATTTGGGAAGAATTGACATCTTTATGTTTGCCAGTCCATTAAAATGTTATAACCCTTTGTTTTTGTCTTTTATATGAAGACATAAACAGACTTTGTGTGTGTGTGGTTTGTGTTATGGCTTTCCTCATCTTTTGTTAGCTTTATTCCTATTTATTTGGTATTTCCAGATGGCATTGTAAAAATCAAATAGTTAGCAGTTTTATTTTATAGTTACCTATTGCTTATGTATAGAAATGCAGATGATTTTGTGTATCAGTCTTATATTCAGCAACCACGTTCAAGTCTTTCATTCTTATAGTTTAATCTGTAAATTTTTTTGTATTTTCTACATATAAAGCTATGTCATAGGCAAACGCTGTTTTAGTTTTTGTTTTTAATTGAAACTTTTATGATCCTATACTTTTTAATCTTAGAATATCTTTTATTCCTTTAATCTATTAGAGCATATTAGAAATATGAAAAGACTTAAAAATCATGAATAAATCCAGAAAATAAGAAATTTTAAAAATCACTTATACTCCTTCCATAATCCAGTTATTATCAGTTAAAATTTGTGAACATATCTCCAGACTTTATAGATAGTTTTGAACATTGGATTATAGAAAACATATTTTTAAAAATTCTATTCCCACTTAATATGCCATGGACAATTTTACATGACAACAAATATTGTTCTGCACAAAAAATGTTACTAGTGAATGTATTTGTTTTTAAGTTTTTGCTATTATAAACAACACTACATTTAAGAGACATGCGGATGGGTCTGATTGCTGTGTATTTCTTGGAAATAATATCCTTAAATTTCTGGAAGTAGACTTTCTGGGTCAAAATGTATAGCCTTTTGAAATTTGTTGCCACATTGCCTTGTAGACATGCTATGTAAATTGTCCTTCACACCAGACGTATATAAATGTTCTTGCTTCCAAATACTTTAGCCTTTGTTGGTATTCACATATTTGTTATATGGAAATGTTTCTTGTTTATCATATTAGTTAAAAATAAAACCTATAGCCTTTTATGAGCTAGTGGTTTCATAAACGTGTTTTACCTTTTTTTTGGTATCAATCTCCTAACATTTTCTATCCTCTATTCTTTTTACTTTTGTCTTAAATTCACAGGATTTTCAAATTAAAATATCTGATACACTCCTCCACATGTACACAGGAGGAAACAAGGCTGGAAGATTGAGTGACTTGTCAATTGCTAACCTGCTGATTTTTTTTAGTTTTATTTTCCTGTATCTGATTGATCTTAGTTTCTTTGAAGGGATACTCTGTTTTTCAAGATGTTTAAAGATAATTACTCTTATTTTTTGGTAGACAGACTAGGACCCATTATCTAATAACAGAATTATAATATAGTTTTATCTGTTATGTTCTTATCATTCATGACATACTAACAGAACTATCACTTCTTTTAAAAAGTTATCAATAGATTTCTATGTAAAAGAATGATAGTAATTCACCAATAAATGGCTAAAGATCGTGAAATTATATTATTATTACAGGTGCATATCTATCTGTTGGTCTTGTATCCCACTCTTTGTAGATTTATAGTTACTTGTGCTTTTCAGTTTATTATAAAATTAATTCAACTTGCAATTAAAGTAGTTTATAATTGTAAAGGTCAAATAGAACAGATTAAAATTAAATTTGTTGATTAGTGAGAGAGAGCTTTGAGCTTACTGGCTCTTTTATGTTCTATTCCTTTTCGTTCTCTTCCCCTTTCTTTTTCCTAGGCCTCTGCCAGCACACTGAAGTTTCTACATGTTTGTAAAACAGTTTGCCATTAATGTTTTCTCTCACTTACTTCACCTCTAAAGGAAGAGGTAGTAGAAACCACCACTGTCTTGTTGCTGAAGTTTAATAAAAGGTGTGAAAATTCACACTCTCCCAGTCCCCTTCCTCCCATTGTACCTCAGAAAAGAATGTGGTAGCCACTTAAATCCCCTTTAGAAAGTTTAAATCCTTGTTGCAATGGTTTTAGAACAATCTAAATTTTGTTTTTAAAGGTGTGTTTGTACTCTATTCTATTCTTCATTCATTAAACTCCCTTCTCACTACCATTCCCCTCCACCTTCTACACATGGTGGGTGTTTTACTGAGGTAATGAAAGGAGGAGTATCTGTTGTAAATGTTTGTATATGATAAGCTAACCAAATGATGCCTTGGCTTCTTAATTCTTGAGACTGCCCTTAATTAAAGTTCCAATGAATGCCTGTCTGGACTTTAGGTTTATCACAAGTAAACTGATAAAGGTCATTTACCCAAGTACTGTGGGAATATAGCTTATCCTTTTGTAAATTGTTGTTCTGAAGTGGTATGTTAGACAAAAATTTGTAGAAGTTCATGCATTTTGTATAATGTGCTCAGAGAAATCACTGGGTACTCAGAAGCATTGTGAGCTGAATTTACTTTAAATACAGGATGAAGATAATTTTTTTATGATAATAGATATGGAAAGTGTCTATTTGGCTATTTTTCTTTACTTTGTATCCTTTATATACAACATAACTATTGAAGGTTTCTGTTTGGCAACTTTATATTTCATACTTTGTATACAAAAAAAATGCTTAACTTTTCCATACAAAAAATAAAATCTATACCGTTCTTAAATCAGTAGTTCTTTGATTACATTTTTTTCACTCTGAGTATCATGATTCATGTCCTTTATGCATGTTGAGTATTTGAAACTTTGGTTTAGAACAGAAAAACATGCCTCTTAGGCACTGCTTCCATGGTAACTATAATGAAGCTGGACATAATTGCATATTTATACTTAACATAAGTCAGTAGATTTCTGATAGTCTTAAAAGTTTTCCTTTTTTTCTTTTTTGTTAAGCAGCAGTATTTTGTTAACCTTAATCAGAGCCCGACGTGTGTTTCTTCTAAATGGCATCTGATGTGGTGTCTCTCCTCAGGTCTCTGTGGTTTCCTGTTTTTTTCATACATAGAGAAAAGCCCTTTGAATATTAAGCTTCACATTTTTTTTCTTTTAATGGTACATTAAACCTAAACTCTCTTATAAAGAAGTACAGCATAGGATTGTAAGCCTATCTCACCATTCATTTATGCCACTTCCAACAGACTCCTTCTGTGAAATTCCTCCAGCTCTTACTGTGTATCCATCAATTAGCATTTCTTTATATATTCTCTTCTGGATTCTTCAGCATTACAGATCTTACTTCTACCTTGAACCTGGTGTATTCTTCAAAGACAGAGATGATGATATTTTTTATTTCTGTAGCTTTATTTCTCCAATAGTGCTTTTCTTTAGCAGTGAATAGATGCAGTAGATTTGTGACTCTCAAAGTGTTCCCCAGACCAGTAGCTCAGCAGCCCCTAAGAACTTGTTAGAACTGTAAATTCTCAGGCCCCACCCCATTGCTGCTGAATCAGAATATCTTGTATTGGGCTCAGCAACCTGTGTGTTAATAAGCCCTTCAGATGATTCGGATGCATGCTAAAGGTTGGCAACCACTACTATAGATAATTTTTGAGTGAATATCAAAATTGAACCTTTATGGTGATGTTTCATTGAGAAGATTGATGTAGGATGGGGCCAGGCAGTATTTAGTCTATTCTACCTTAGTCTTTTATTTTTCAAGAGGCACTGGTAAAGAAAAGCCCGGGATTTAAATATTTGTTACCTTAGAACAAATATTATAAGGTAATGGATGGAAGGGTATATATAGTTCTTTTGCTATCATATTATGAAAAACTACAGTTTACATTTTTAAAAATATGAATGGTTTCTTTCTTCTAACTAATCAGAAATAGACATTTAACATTCTGAAAATAGGAAGAGTGAACTAAGAAATGCATACTGGATGTTACTAATTTTCATGGTGGGAAAGAATGTGGGTGTTTGTTGGAATCTGGTCAGGTGGTAGATAGATTGGGAGAGGACTTTTCCCTGGGTATGATTCTATGCTCTTTTACGTTTTTGAATGATATAAATGCATTACCTATTAAAATATTTGGTGTATGATATTTAATAAAATAAATTAATGAAGAGGTATTGGATTTTATATAATAAATTGCCATGAGTTAACTATTGTGGTTGGTTAAAAAAATTAGAATTTCCTTTTGTATTAATATTAAAGGTTAGGTAACATGTGCTTTTCATCTCTTCAGAAAACATCAGGCAGTCTTGATGACCTTCCACCTTAACCTTCTTGAAAGGGTGGATACACATCACTCTTTTGTGCAGTGAATAAAAGATTTCTACTGTTATATAGACCCATCTTCTTATAACTATTTTAAGAAAATAGAGGAGAATTTAATCTCGATTCATGGTTAAATAACCTTGTATACACAAATGAAGAGTTCATAACAAATAGGGCTTTGACCAAATGCCTTCTTTCAGATGTTTTCCTAGAGATGTCTTGATAAGCAAGGACTTTTTGAGAGAAAAATTGATGTAAGTTTTTGTCATATTCTTAGCAAATGCAAAATAGTTAGCAGAACCCAATACATATGTTCTGAATTATGAACAATATTCTCAACTATGTGTCTTTTAATACAAATATAATTATATTAATTTCATTATTGAATTGTACTCTTTCAATGGAAGGTATGTCTTAAATGACACTTGATTCAATTACTCATTTTTTTTCCCTTGCACAGAACTATCGTACCATGGAAAGTATTCAGACAGTGCCTTCATGAGGTCCATCAAATTAGCTCTGGCCTGGAAGCAATGGCTCTAAAATCAACAATTGATTTAACTTGCAATGATTACATTTCAGTTTTTGAATTTGATATTTTTACCAGGCTATTTCAGGTAAGCTTATACTTGCTTAGTCTATCCATTCCTTCCTTCCCTGCCTCTCCCATCGTTCTCTCCTTCCCTTTCTCTTTCGCCACCCCCGCATGCCTCTCTCCCTATCTCTGTGTATCTCTGTCTCTCCTCCCTCCCCCTCTCTCCCTCCCTCTGTCTCTCACACACGTACACACAAACATATGGAAAATAGTCTTATTCTTGGTAGCTTATAATTTTATTGGTGTGTTTGGTCATTGCCATAAGTTTAGAGTGAGTCGTTTGGCTTTAGTTTGTAGTATCAGGTGTTGTGAGCCTGGTGGCTGCTTTTTAGCTTTAAGAGGATTCATGCAGAGGACTTTGTTTTAAACTCCCTATTTAGTTTCTCACTTTCTTTTGTTGATCTATCAGCCCAGTAACTGATAGAATGCAAGATTTACAGATGGGCATTTGTCAGAGTTTTATCTAAACCTTTCCCCTTTGCCTTCTGCACTCCTTAGGTGAGAAGGGAAATCATAAATATCGAAATAGCAAACTGTTCTGTATAGGAGTATACTGTGGTGTGTACTCTTTTATAAACTGCTTTGCTCATTCAACCATATGCAATGAATATTTTTCCATATAAATAAATATTCCTCATCAATGATTTTGAATTTTCATTTCTTATGTTACATCAAAACAATATGTCAGTGTTAATTTAACAAAGCTTTCTTTTGGAAAATTTAGATTTTTTTCATCATTATGCCTAATGTAAACAACTTTTAGGTGAACATTCTTATTCTGTTTATTGTTCTTTTTTTTTTGTAATCAATCTTCCATAATTGTTTTCACATAGCTATTCAGAAAAAGGTATATATGGATGCTATCATTTTATTTTTTTTGCATGTCTTAATGAAATTACTCTGTTGGAGACTTGAAATTTGTGTTGAGTTTGTCTCTGCCACTAAAATGTTTATCATATGTGGGATTCAATTGAAGTAGTCAAAAAATAAAAGAGTCCTGCTTAAAATTGTTGTTATTCTATTA